TGGTGATAAAATGACGTCTGTAGTATGAGGTGATAAAGTGACGTCTTTAGTATGTGGTGATAAAATGACGTCTGTAGTATGAGGTGATTAAGTGACGTCAGTAGTATGAGGTGATTAACGTCATGTCTTTAGTATGAAGTGATAAAGTGACGTCTGTAGTATGTGGTGATAAAGTGACGTCTGTAGTATGAGGTGATTAAGTAATGTCTGTATTATGAGGTAGTAAAGTGACATCTGTGGTATGAGGTGATATATTACATCTGTAGTATGAGGTGATTAAGTGACGTCATTAGTGTGTGGTGATAAAATGACGTCGGTAGTATGAGGTGATAAAGTGACGTTTGTAGTATGAGGTGATAAAATGACGTCTGTAGTATGAGGTGATGAAGTGACGTTTGCAGTATGAGGTGATAAAGTAATGTCTGTATTATGAGGTAATAAAGTGACGTCTTTATTATGAGGTGATAAAGTGACGTCTTTATTATGAGGTGATAAAGTGACGTCTGTAGTATGAGGTGATAAAATGACCTCTTGAGTGTAATGTCATAAACTGATATCTGTAGTTAGAGGTGATAAAGTGACATCTGTAGTATGAGGTGATAAAGTGACGTCTGTAGTATGAGGTGATCAAGTGACGTTTGTAGTATGAGGTGATAAAGTGACGTCTTTGGAATGTGGTGTTAAAATGACGTCTGTAGTATGAGGTGATAAAGTGACGTCTTTGGAATGTGGTGATAAAATGACGTCTGTAGTATGAGGTGATGAAGTGATATCTGTAGTATGAGGTGATAAAGTGACGTCTGTAGTATGAGGTGATTAAGTGACGTCAGTAGTATGAGGTGATACAAAAGTGACGTCTGTAGTATGAGGTGACAAAGTGATGTCTTTAGTATGTGGTGATATAGTGACGTCTGCAGTATGACGTAATAAAGTGACGTCTGTAGTATGAGGTGACAAAGTGATGTCTTTAGTATGTGGTGATAAAGTGACGTCTGCAGTATGACGTAATAAAGTGACGTCTGTAGTATGAGGTAATAAAGTGACATCTGTAGTATGAGGTGATGACGTGACATCTGTAGTATGAGGTGATAAAGTGACATCTGTAGTAAGAGGTGATTAAGTGACGTTTGTAGTATGAGGTGATAAAGTGACATATGTAGTATGAGGTGATGAAGTGACGTCTGTAGTATGAGGTGATTAAGTGACGTCTGTAATATGAGATGATAACGTGACGTCTGTAGTATGAGGTGATTAAGTGACGTCTGTAATATGAGGTGATAAAGTGACGTCTTTAGTATGAGGTGACGAAGTGACCTCTGTAGTATCAAGTGATAAAGTGACATCTGTAATATGAGTTGATGAATCGACTTCTGTAGTATGAGGTGATGAAGTAACGTCTTGAACGTGTTGTAATAAAGTGACGACTGTAGTATGAGGTGATGAAGTAACGTCTTGAATGTGTTGTAATAAAGTGACGACTGTAGTATGAGGTGATGAAGTAACGTCTGTAATATGAGATGATAAATCGACTTCTGTAGTATGAGGTGATGAAGTAACGTCTTGAATGTGTTGTGATAAAGTGACGACCGTAGTTGAGTTGATAAAGTGACGTCAATGATATGAGGTGATAAAGTGACGTCAATGATATCAGGTGATAAAGTGACGTGTTGGGTATGAGGTGATAAAGTGACGGCTGTGGTAGGAGGTGATAAAGTGACGTCTTTAGTATGCGTTGATGAAGTGACGTCTGTAGTATGAGGTGATGAAGTGATATCTGTAGTATGAGGTGATAACGTGACGTCTGTAGTATGAAGTGATAAAGTGACGTCTTTAGTATGCGGTGATGAAGTGACGTCTGAAGTATGAGGTGATGAAGTGATTTCTGTAGTATGAGGTGATAAAGTGACGGCTGTAGTATGAGGTGATAAAGTGACGTCTTTAGTATGAGGTGATGAAGTGACGTCTGTAGTATGAGGTGATGAAGTGATATCTGTAGTAAGAGGTGATAACGTGACATCTGTATTATGAGGTTATGAAGTGACGTCCGTAGTATGAGGTGATCAAGTGAAATCTGTAGTATGAGGTGATTAAGTGACGTCTGTAATATGAGGTGATAAAGTGACGTCTGTAGTATGAGGTGACGAAGTGACATCTGTAGTAAGAGGTGATTAAGTGACGTTTGTAGTATGAGGTGATAAAGTGACGTTTGTAGTATGAGGTGATAAAGTGACGTCTGTGGTATGAGGTGATAAGTGACCTCATTGGGATGAGGTGATGAAGTGACATCTTAAGTATGATATAATGAAGTTACGTCTGCAGTATAATGTGATAAAGTGACGTCTGTAGTATGGAGTGATAAAGTGACGTCTGTAGAATGAGGTGACAAAATTACGTCTTAAGTATGAGGTGATAAAGTGACGTCTGTGGTATGAGGTGATAAGTGACCTCATTGGGATGAGGTGATGAAGTGACATCTTAAGTATGATATAATGAAGTTACGTCTGCAGTATAATGTGATAAAGTGAAGTCTATAGTATGATGTGATCAAGTGACGTCTGTAGTATGAGGTGATTAAGTGATATCTGTAGTATGAGGTGATAAAAAAGTGACGTCTGTAGTATGAGGTGACAAAGTGATGTCTTTAGTATGTGGTGATAAAGTTACATTTGTAGTATGAGGTGATAAAGTGACGTCTTTAGTATGAGGTGATTAAGTGACGTCTGTAGAATGAGGTGACAAAATTACGTCTTGAGTATGAGGTGATAAAGTGACGTGTGTGGTATGAGGTGATAAAGTGACGTCTGTAGTATGAGGTGATGAAGTGATATCTGAAGTATGATGTAATGAAGTGACGTCTGTAGTATGGAGTGATAAAGTGACGTCTGTAGTATAATGTGATAAAGTGATATAGTATTAGGTGATGAAGTGATGTCTGTAGTATAATGTGATAAAGTGAAGTCTATAGTATGATGTGATCAAGTGACGTCTGTAGTATGAGGTGATTAAGTGATATCTGTAGTATGAGGTGATAAAAAGGTTACGTCTGTAGTATGAGGTGATAAAGTGATGTCTGTAGTGTGAATTGTGGAAGAGACGTCTTGAATGTGCGGTGATAAAGTGACGACTGTATTATGATGTAAAAAGTGACGTCAATGATATCAGGTGATCAAGTGACGTCTGTAGAATGAGGTGACAAAGTGACGTCTCTAGTATCAGGTGAAAAAGTGACGTCTGTAGTATGAGGTGATAAAGTGACGTCTGTAGTATGAGGTGATAAAGTAACATCTGTATTATGAGGTGATAAAGTGACGTCTGTATAATGAGGTGATAATGTGACGTTTGTAGTATGAGGTGATGAAGTGACATCTGTAGTATGAGGTGATTACGTGACGTTTGTAGTATGAGGTGATAAAGTGACGTCTGTATTATGAGGTGATAATGTGACGTTTGTAGTATGAGGTGATGAAGTGACATCTGTAGTATGAGGTGATTAAGTGACTTCTGTAATATGGGGTGATAAAATGACTTCTTTAGTATGAGGTAATAAAGTGACGTTTTGAGTGTAAGGTGATAAAGTGACAAATGTAGTATGAGGTGATAAAGTGACAAATGTAGTATGAGGTGATAAAGTGACAAATGTAGTATGAGGTGATAAAGTGACAAATGTAGTATGAGGTGATAAAGTGACAAATGTAGTATGAGGTGATAAAGTGACATCTGTATTATGAGGTGATTACGTGACGTTTGTAGTATGAGGTGATGAAGTGACGTTTGTAGTATCAGGTGAAAAAGTGACAAATGTAGTATGATGTGTTAAAGTGACAAATGTAGTATGAGGTGATAAAGTGACAAATGTAGTATGATGTGTTAAAGTGACAAATGTAGTATGAGGTGATAAAGTGACAAATGTAGTATGAGGTGACAAACTGACGTCTTTAGTATGAGGTGATAAAGTGACGTCTTAAGTATTAGGTGATAAAAGTGATGTCTTTAGTATGAGGTGATGAAGTGACGTCTGTAGTATGAGGTGATAAAGTGACTTCTGTTGTATCAGGTGATAAAGTGACGTTTGTAGTATGAGTTGATAAAGTGACGTCTGTAGTATGAGGTGATAAAGTGACGTCTGTAGTATGAGGTGATGAAGTGACGTCTTAAGTATTAGGTGATAAAAGTGATGTCTTTAGTATGAGGTAATGAAGTGAGAGGTGATGAAGTGGCGTCTGTAGTATGAGGTGATAAAGTTACAATTGTAGTATGATGTGATAAAGTTACATCTGTGGTATGAGGACTTTTGATTTGTAAGGCTAGGAACAGTAAATAAAAAGACTCGTTTTAAAGGTGAGATATTGAAGTCTGTGGTATGAAGACGTGTTAAGACGAGGATAGACACTGAAACAATTAGTGAGGGAAGTATCCTTTACACTACTTACGTCACCAGTATCCAAGCAGACAGAAAATCTACGAAACAATGGGCTTATTTTAGCTTAGCAGTATAATAAGGAAAATGCATACTTACCAATGTCTTAGACATAAACGCTTTATTAGTGTGAATAATGTTGTATGAGGTGAAACGGTAGGTCAATTTGATAACTATTCAATGCTCTTAATAACTACTGTTACCTAGGCTTCAATGAAAATCTATCTGATGATGACGTCAGTCGCTGGTGCACCACTTTAATGAGATATAACATTATACTTAAATGTTTAATCAAGAGGGATATGAATAAGGATGGTTAAATGACAAGAAAAGGATGCAGGTGATTTGAGCACGTGTCAGCGGTAAGGCATGATGATTGACATAATGACGTAAAGACGGTACGAGAATGACATCATTCGTAAAGTGGCATACAAACGTTAAAATGAGAGGGTCGATCGTAAGGAAGAGACCAATAAACAGGGGTATTTAATTTATCAGAGTACAATAAATTAATACTAAAGTATTCATAGGTGTTGTCGGTCGGATGAAAGATCGCTGAAGGTCAAAGTGCAAAATTTCCTCATTAATAAGCACAGATGAATGGGAGCTTGTCGAAACACTCGCCATTGGAGAGACCAAACATCGTTAAATGTGTGCAGTTGCCCGTGACATTATATCCGTTAGCGGAAAGCAAGATATCTGGGATTGGCTGAGTGTTGTAATACGTCATATCCTCTCCAGATCCGGCCACGTGTAAGGCAAATTTTGATCCTAAAACACGAAAAGGGATATAAGTACCAAAGTATACATATGTATATTCTACAGAATCACAAAAGGTGGATCTATATCAAAAGTGTTCTATTTCCTGTGCTGATCATAAAAACAGATAACAATAAACAGTCACACATAAAGACTCTAGCGTTTATTCATTTAAGGTTGATTCAGTGCATATCATTGTTTAATATTCATATAGGAATTATTTGGATTTGTTCTATTCTTACGGATCACGGTTTTACGTCACGACATTGGATTGTTCTGTCAAAACAGTATCAAGTATATAACCAGATATAGGTAGGTGACGTAACACCAGGCCAGAGTTAGTTAGAGTTAACCAGTAGTTAGTGAAACATTCAAATTATTGTCACTAATCGAACAAGGGTGTAAAATTCAAAATTAACACTTAAATAGAATATGTCAGTCTGACCTGTCTCAGCACACCTACAGCTGTGAAACCCAACCCAACGCACAGTATATGTTTATACAACAACTTGTCAACAGTCAGATACACTTAGCAGTGAAGCTGGCGGTAATCATCAAAGTCCAAGACTTAAGCAGATCCATAGTTCTCAACTTGAGAACGAGGTATCGGCGATGGAGCCGAAATTTAGTCAACATTTCATGGTAATTGTAAAATATCTATCGAGATTTAAGACTAAACAACGGGCGTAATCATTGGAACAAACTGTACCCCTCTCTTGGCGTTCTTGTTTTTGTTGAAATGATAAAAATGCCCATTAAAACATGTCTTAGGGAATTAGCCGAATCCTCCAGTTTTAATTTTGAATATAGTGATGAAGTCTTTGAATAAAAAAAGGGCTTACTGATCATGCCCATCGAACATGCCATCGATCTGTACCTGGCGACTTCCCCGCGTAAATCTCGAAGCCGGACCCAGAGAAGGAGGTAACTAAACACGTGTTCGTAATTTCATCACAGTGTATCCAACCGAGAAGACTGCATACATAATATCTTTTTAAAAAAGCAAGGAAAGAAACCGAGTCCTGCAAAGACGATGATAATTCCAGTTATTAGTTACCTGTGGAGTTGACATACGCCTGGACTGCATTCAACTGTGACATGGTTTGGACGGCCAGAAGACGAGCCTTGTCCTGCGAACATGCTGCTTCAGCCTCATCATGGGACACGTGTTCACTGGCTACCTTGTAACATAGTCCGGCGTCTCTGTCCATCATGTAGCCACGGTCAAGAGCATGCGCTAAACATCAAACGTTGTAAATTTTCTAGAGAAACACACGACATACACAGAAATCTGTACCGCTCACATCAATAAATCATTGTTTGATGCTGTAACGAAAGATTCAATGTCTAACTTAATATCTACTGACTTAAACTGAAATTATAGGACAAATCTAAAACAAAATTTAATTGGAAAAAAAATTGATACCCTTCCATAGATATAGTTAATTCAACTTTTATCAGGAGATGAATGCTGATTAATAGTTATTTACTTTTTCCCATTATTATTTGTTTTTTCTGATCTATTTCTAAACTTTCACTTATCATCTTATAATAAGGAAACAACTCTGATCAGTTCTTTATCTTAGTCTCAATATCCTTTTTATTTAGAATAATAATCCTTTGATATTAGAAAAATATCCTTAATGTGTACTTGCTCTCTCACTGAAGTGGGAGAGGGCTAACTTATAAATCATGGACATTCTGACCCAAACCCCTTTCATATGGGAGAGAAAGTACATGTAATGCACATTTAATATCATAAGACATAGTAAACTGAAAAGGTGGTGAATTGTTAATTATCTTCTTATAAAATTAAAGCATAAAAATAACAGTTGTCTCCCATTATTTGAATAGTCTGTTAACACTGAACTTCTCATGTTATGTATGTATGTATGTATGTTTATGATGTATTATGTTTATGTCTGACCACCATGTTGTCTTGGGAGAAGACTTATATAGGCTCTAGCCCGCTGTCTGATCCTATTGATTGTTTATATCAATAAATATTCTGAAATATATACAGAAAAAATCATTCTTTCATTCCTTTTTAAATCACATAAATTTCATTAGTATGACAGAATATCTATATTTTTCACGGGTGCGGAGATATGTTCCGTCATCTCACTAAACTATCGTATATATATTTAATAGGTAACCGTCAAATCTTCTTTTATTACATTTTAAATATAAAAACAAAGAGAAAGAAACCCGATTCTAACATCAAATAAACCGACTTTAAAAAATCATGAAACTTAATTGCTTCCTTTGACGGTAAAATAGTGTGACATTATGCTTGTCAAGAAGATGACGCCATGTTAGATAGAATGCTTAACGTGCATGTAATGTTCAACCATCTAATGCTGTTGTCTAGTAAGAATCAATTATTTTTATCATCATTAGAAATATCATAGACTTAATAGTGACGATATAATTTTTTTATATCTTCACAGCAATGATGATATTAAAATTTTAATTAAATTGATATTTTTCACTAGCAAAAATGTATGAACTATACAATACAGTTTTACTTAATCAGCAAGCTATTCGTTACGTTTCAAATAACATTTTGATCATTACAACAAAATATCATAATGGCAAGGAAATATTTATGACAAGATTAAGAATATACACATTTTCCTGACGTTGTAAAATGATCAGATACAAAAAAAAACCAAAAAAATGTATGGATATATGGGGCTAACACCTCTCATTTAGATTTTGACATTTCTTTCAATCACTTTGAACTTTTCTTTTTCACCTATTAGACTTCAAACTAACGGTTCATTGAAAGACGACTATGGTGTTAGATGCAGTCAAATTTATTGTTTGACTGTACTGTATTCTGACTTTAAAGTATTAAAGTATTTTTAATCACTTAAGTGTTTTTGGTACAATGTACATAACGTTAAAAGTACATTTGTTTCACTTATGTAGAAGAAATACGTACACAGGTTAAAGAAGTACATAGGACTATCATAGATAGGTATATCCGTCCGCGGATGTCTCCGGGAGATATTCTGGAAGTTCCCAAAGAAATTGCCTTTATATTTTTTACACTGTCCTTTGGCCGAGTCGTAGGCGAAGGACATACAGTTCTTGTTACTGTAGCAATCCAGCCCACATGTTGGAGCGTCGATTAACAAGACATCCATTGGGTTTGTAAGGTCATCAGGCCAGGCTGGGGAATAAGCCATCTTAGACGCTGTATTTCCTGTACAAATGAAAAGGAGAGTTAGAATGCCAATGGAAGAACCAGGGAATGAGCTACCACCTAGATAAGTCAAGTCATCAGTTCTTTTTTTCTCTCTCTATTTTTTGTTTTGTAATAATAACAACGTCCTGACTTTATGTGGTATATTCAAAGTATTTTCTTTTTAATCTTACTTATTTCGGATTATACATTTCATCCTGTTTACTATCACAACTAGTATTAATCCTATTTAACTAAATATAAGACCTAAATCTTCCTTCGAAAGGTTATGAATCCTTTTTCAAACCACGGGAGTACGTTTTGCTACAATACCCTTGTCAGTGACGGAATTGGCGTCATCTCCGATCTCTGATTGGATTGACATATGACAACACGCAACGTCGATTCTGTGTTTGAAATGCAAATCGAAATGGAACAGGGAGTGTTTGATAGAACATAATCAAATGGAGTTAATTTCAACTCGAAGTCTCTCAAAAACAGCTTTATAGAAAAAAAACCGATATTGTCAAGGCAGTTAGATAACCACATGCACTGTAAACTTTATGGTCGTGTGGTTCTATTTTCTGCTTTAGAATAAAACCTCAAACAAGCGATACATTGTAAATAAACCAAGTAAAAATGCTTCCCTTTTATATCGAGCTTTTGATAGAACCACGAACTGTTTGATCCGTCCACAACATCAGCAGTTACTGTACTGTAAAGCCCATTAATATTCATAACGACAAAAGTATTGCTCTCTCATTTATATGTAAATAGTCATTATCATTCTGTTCAACATTGTCACTGTAGTATGAACGAGTAGAAATAGGGTTGTCAGGATATCTAGATTGTAATCTCGTTTCAAAACTGGATATTGTAGGTCTGGCGTCATATTGAAGAACGTCTTTAATCAATGGTCTGTAACGGTGCGAATCTTGTTCTAAATAACAAGTCTCCTATAAAAACCGTGTATTGGGCATACATGGTTATCTGTTATTTATGAATATCAATTACAAATATGCCAGTGTAATAAAATGTTCTGTTTTAGTCGGGCAACTTAATCAACTATATACATATTTAAACAACGATGTGGTACAAACAGCATTACAGCTATACATAAGTACCGTTTGACAGACGACTACAAATTACTCAATAAAACCAAGGCAAAACTAAGCGATCGTACTAATAAATGACAAAACACTCGACTTGTAATTTGTAGGCCAAATATATAGTTATTTTAGGTAGCAATGAAGGAATCAATTAAGATATATATATCTATGACAAGTTCTTCAAAAAAATCAATTCAAATTTTTAATACATTTTTTTAATGATTTGTATTTTTCCTGAATCTTTAAAAAATCTCTAAAAAAGAAAATGAGACTGTATATTTCAAATAACAGCGGTTTGGTCGGTGTAGAAAGTAATAAACATATGCGTCTCCCATGGAAACAAAAATGGCTGCCGATCACATTCGAAGTTGTTGACCTAAAGTAAGTCTTCACAAAACGGTAAGTAACATTACAAAACTGTAAAATTATATCAGAACACAATGTTAGTCAGACATGTAATTTGTCGCAAAATTATTATTATCGCCATAACATAAGCGATTACCAAGTTTGTCAAGTTTGTCTGTTAGACGTCGATCTAATAGCCCACACACAGAATACATTGCAAATAAAATGTCACTTACTGATAGGAGTGACTTCCATATCAGTTTAATGAATATTCTTTCTGAACAAGAATTCCACTCAATGAAATAAACGGAACTCATTCCTGATGAAAAACATGACACATCGTTACGTGAAATCTGACTCAGAAACGTATCACTTTTTACTGAAATATCAAAGCGCAATAAATTGCTTTTAATATACAAAGAAAGAAAGAAAAATTAGAATATCATGATTATATTTACACGGTTTACACTTTTTATCTACAAAAAGTTGAATTTATAATGGCGCTATTTCATACGGTTGTTATTTATACTGATACCAGGGAGTCAATCTTCATCATCTGAAATGTTTAAAATGTGTGAATTTCTCGCCAAATAATCACTTCTGCAAAAGCAGTAAAAAGTACGGAAGCGTATGAGGGACATAAGTTCCTAACATAAAATGCACTATAAATATTTGTAATATCCTCATTTACGGACATAATTGTTTTCATCTTGGGATAGATAATTTAACATACCACAGTTAATTTTCATTATTATTATTGACATTCAAATAAAACGACTTGGGCACATAAATCTACTTATCTTAAGAAAATGTCGGAAATGCAAAATGCTAGTATTCCATTTTCTGACATAATGGATAAACTGTTGTATGTTAAATAGTGCATTTTATGTTAGGAACTTATGTCCCTCATACGCTTCCGTAGATAAATAAGCATGTTCTCCATTCCAGTTATCAGTCACCCAAACTGTAGTCATATCGAATAAACACTAACACCATGTAACAGTTCATGGCTTAAATGTACCCACACGTATGCTCCAGATTATTAACAGAATCGACCTTGTATTGAAACGTGACGTGAAGGTACTTGTAAATGGAATTCTCCGTCGTGGCAAATAATGACGGCTTCACAAAATGTGATCAATGAGTTGTTTAATGTACAATTTATTGGTAGATCCAAGTGAACATATTGTTTCCAGAATTGTATTTTTATGTTGCAGTCACATTAATTAAACAGTGGTCTCATCTACCTAACAGGTTCATAGTGTGAATGCTTGTGGTCGATAACACCTTCATATAATGTATGTTAAACGACCGTGGAAATGTATATTATCGAAATGTCCAAATACAGTGTTTTTTTAATCCATGTCAAATATATTCATGTTTAATGCCAAAATTTTACACTGATATGTAATTTTTACAGAGGAAGGTAGATAATGCTTAACAAAGATGAAAAGTTAGCAAGGAAATCCGATGGTGGAAGGTTACCAAAATCATTCACGCGTGACAGACTGTATTGACGGAAGATCTCCACGAGGGTTTCTGCGATCAAATTGGACTAACCTGTATCTTAATTTGAAAATTATAACGAAAACTCAATCTGACACCTGATCTATGGATTCCCGGGTCTCAGAGCTCACTAGCTCTTGTTATTGTCACTGTAACAACATTAGCATTATGTCAAAGCGTCAAAAACACAGGCGAAATGACTGTAGGCATGATCCAGGGCGACTAGTCTCAGAGTCAAGAAGCACAGCATTTCGACAGCAGTGTTAATATAAATACCAAACTCCATCCAACAACCGATTTTCCTCAAAGAGGTCGACCCCGCAAATGGACGGTAAGCGGTGACAGTTGTATACGATAATACATTACAGACGACAAGTACATTGTATTGGCGTGTCGTATGTCTTCCTAATAGTCAGCTCAAATGTAAAGCGCGGCGTAGAGGACCTATTTGGTTATGACGTCACTGTAATGGCCACAATGGCGCATCGTTGTTGGGCCTTATGACGATAGAACAATGTTCTGTTTTGTGATGAATATGTTTATTTAACAACAAGAGGAGCATTTCGCTGCGTCGCAGAATTGGGCTGCTTTAGTGGTGGTATTTCTGGGAGGGGGATCATGTCAGACTTGGTTTTAGTAAATAACATTCAATATCGGGACTTGTGGTTCTATCATTCTTGAGACGCATCGACGTAACTGTCCTTCATGAGAATATCAGGTGGGTCATCAAAATTATCCGATTTATCACGAATTTATCATGTGCAGGGCGTTATAAGTCATGAGAGAACGTCAAAGATCTGCCATAAAATTGGAAGAGCTGGCTCAAACCTTTGACGGTAAATGAATAAAAATATCCCTGTTTAAATTAACCAGCGGTTTAGGAGTTGAAGCTATGAATTTAACTTTACAAACAATGGTTATACCTGAATTTTGTGGTATTACATTTGACGTTATTCTCTTTAACGTCGAATGGAATTGACTGATGCTTGGCAATCAACTATGACGACGTTATTATCCAAACTATTTAAACAAATCACAATTGATTAGATTTATAAGAGGAATACTTACGTAAACGTAACATAAGGTAGTGTTATGTCTTTTTGTTAAGTACATAATGGATGAAAGGGAGTGTATAATATCATACATATGGTGTGACGAAGGAAGGTGAACGGTATAAGCAGGAAAACGCCAGGAAGTTTAAAATAGCAAGGGATCACAACAAGGGGAGCGCAAGAACTGGTTAATATACTTCGACAAATTAGTAAACTCAAGATACAATATTCCGAAGAAAACATTGAAGTTAAAGAAGTTAGAAAATACCGACTAGAGAATAAAAATGACAATATAAGGATATGGTATGGTTCGGTGTCTACTGTGAAGGTGCAAGAAAATAACGGCAAGGAAGAAATACATATTAGAAATATGTAAACTGAAAGTATAAAACGAAAACAGTACAAGAGGCATTATAGTGTATGTAATGTAGGTGAAATAACTCAGTTTTATGGATATTGAGCAGAAAGCATCCGAAGATTTATAAATGTTTGATCCCTGATACTTTGAAAAAAATCATTAAAATAGTTTGGAAGGCCTTCGTGCCTGCATTCCACAAACCAAATATCTTGACAGAGATACTATCGAGTTTTTATCATGAGTAGAAGCTGTTGAAACAGTTAAGTACTTTTAATTTTTTCTGACATTGAAAGTCGGTTAAGGTCATATATATGTAATAACTGTCTTTGATATTTAATCGAAAGGGAATATTTCATCTTTAGCACGAATATATAATCAACGTCAACAGAAGTACTTATAGATATACTAAAACGAAAAAGAAACGCCGTGTAACCTAAAAAGATTCTTTTAAATGATATAATTTAATATTACATTATTTCATTCATTTTTGTATACAATTTCATCTGTTTGGAACCATTTGTTGAAGGTTCTATCGATTATCAATGCTAATTATGCCAAACATATCCCCCTTTTAGCGATGACCTACTTGTATTGCGCAAGACGGCCGGACATTTCATTATCTTGTGTGTCCTCCATGCGCAGCTGTCGCAGCCCTGATTCTTCTATACATGGAATTCATCAGGGTGTTAACCCTTGCAATGGGGATGTTATTCCATTCTTCATGCAAGGCACGTGTGAGCTGGACCAGATTAGTGGGGGCATTTGGACGTCTCCTAACTCTCCTATCCAATTCGTCCCACAAATGCTCAATTGGAACAAATCTGGACTGAATGCTGGCCAATCGATTGGGATTACGTTATTATTGGCAAGAAATTGCTGACAAACTCTAGCGACATGGGGCCGGGCATTGTCTTGCTGGAATATCAGGTTCCGTGCTTGCACACATGGCACGGCAACTAGGCGGAGGATTTCGTCTCTATACCTTACGCCGGTTAAATTACCGTCAATCACGACCAGGGGTGATTTACTACCGATGAAGGGAAGGTGTGAATGACACACTTACTATAGTATTGAACAAAGTATTGATACTATTGTATTGAAGTATTCAAATAATCGAGTCAAGTATACAACGACCTCTGTGATTGGTCGGGGGCGGAGTTTAGACAACCTGAATAGTTGATCTGACACCCAATTTGTTCCGGTAGGCGGAGTTAATGTAACTACATACGCAAAATTTTCTTCAACGAAATTATGTCCGCCGATATGGGGAATCCTGTTTTTGTACAAGGCGATGTGGTTGTGATGGATAATTGTGGATTCCATCCCCAGGGAGAGCGCATTTTGAAATATAAAACGGAATACAACGTAACTGAATATGTATTCACTGTCATGAGACAGAGGCTTCGGGCAAATACCCGACTTGTGTCAGAATTTCTGGAACTTGCAGTAGTAAATGCTCTAGATATTCCGCCCAACCAACTTCAAAGTTTTTTCACATGTTGCGGATATGTATAATTTTCGATGGAAAGATAAAAAATAAAATAAAAAATATATGGGACCACAGAATTCCTTTATTTTTTTAATGCAGTATGAATTATCGGCATATATCAGGAGGTTAATTCGTAATTCTTTGTTCAGCTTGGGCTTAAACCGATATCTCCTTTCAAAAAAAATAAATAAAACTAGGAATGACTATATGTAACCTGTTGATATATATTTTGTACGTAAATTAGTTTAGTACTGAGTAACTTTCGTTTTCTCGTTGTACCATCGATGGAAAAGCAAGGTATCATTGGGTGTAGAACGAAACAAATGGGACAACCCAATTAGGTCTGATCTGAAGCCACCTGTGACTTGGACTCTTCCAATTAACCTCTCGCGACAGTCGAGTGTTTGTAAAATTTTCTGCAAGGAATAGGACGAAGGCTTGGCTCTGCCAATCAGAGATGTCCATAAATTTAAGAAATTCCTTGAGGTTTTCAATAAAAGATATTTTCATCGGGAGATACCGCCCCAAACACATTAGCTGAGGTATAAAAATCTCGACTTGAGGAAATCTATATCAAAAACGGCTTGTATAAAACAAGGAATAGGGGGCCTGCTAGGATGCGAAACGCACGCAATAAAAGATATTTTCGAGATATTAACGAAAATTCCCCTACAAGTGGGGCCGACGTCGATATACACGACGTCGCCCGTCCGAACGGTAGAGAGTGAACCGGGATTCGTCAGTGAAGAATACCCGTCTCCATTGCCTCATAGGAAAATTTCTGGGCGAGTGTGCTTGTAACCAAGCCAATCGGCGTTGGTGACGCGCAGGAGTTAGGGGCAGACCAACAGGGGACGTCGGGCTCTTAGGCCATTGACGCGTAATCGGTTTCGAACCGTATCAGGATGAATATGGCGGTTATGACTGCCTATAGTGTTATTTGCAGTTTCGGTAGCTGTGAGATGGCGATTACGTAAGTGAGAAAGTCTTATAAACCGATCCTGATGTGGCGTCGTGACGCGCGGACATCCACTTCGCGGTCGGTCGATGAACCTCCCCGTCACTCACACACGTTGGACAAGACGTTGAATTGTCCGAATATGCACACCAAAATGTGCAGCAACCTGAAGTTGGCCCTGACCCTGCAAAAGCATTCCTATAGCCTGTCCCCGCTGGACTTCCGTCAATCGTGGCATGGATGTAAATTGCTTAATTCGAATCAAACTTTGAAAAATCAATCCGAATACTTGAACAGTATCAAATAGACCGAACATTTCCATTGGCGAACTCAATGACCTTCCCCTGCACGGGAATCTTGTATTTTAGCACGTGCCTCGCACGGAGCGCGGAGGTTAGGTATTGTGTGATTTTAAACACGTGTACCTAGTGACCGCGAACAACACATCAACCTGACCGAGTGTCATTATTCTAGGCCAAGCAATAAATCATTTGTAGTATATTTCGTATACCCGGCGTTTCTTTTTCGTGTTAGTATATTATATTTTGTCAGGGGTACCCATTGGTATTTTTATGTTCAGTACTAACGTGTCATCTTTTTAGTCCGAAGTCTCAATGCGCTTTGAAGAATGATGTTGCTCAATACTACTTATTCTAAGTATAATTGTATTTTGTTACATTCAATCACGCGCTAATCAAGAATTTCCTTTCTTTCATCTAAGGACAGAACGACCTATTTAAAGTTTTGTAGAAGGCAATTCTTTATTCCCCTGTGTTAGATGTATGTTTTCAATTTCAAAGCATTATCTTTACAGGAATAACCGTCAGTAAACTTTTTTTTAATACTTAGACGAACTTACCCATTGCCTTTCCCAGCAGAAAAAATAAGAAGAAATCTGTCATGCTTAGACACATGGTTTTCCACAGCTGTAGTGCCCTTTTCTTCAAAGGAAAAAAGTGTTGTATGTGAAGCACAAGTGTTCCTGGCTGTTCTCTCACCGAGCACAATGTGTGTGTTATGCACCTGTCTTTACTCTATATCTACTGAGTTACCAACCCACCTGGGATATTTATTGATTGAACGTTGAAACATATACATACATGTAGATGTATAAGCACAGCTGAGAGAGTGTTATCCGACTCTTGTACACTGCAGATATTCTATGATGTGGAAAGTCATCACAGAACAATTGGTGTACCTAATATATTATAACCGTTTAAAAAGCATTGGCACCAAACTACATTATGACACATCTATGTGGGGATTGTTTTGTCGTAATTTAGGTACTCCGATGTAGTATGTAGTTCCAAGTAAAATTGTATACAACCTGATAATTTATTGTAGTGTTCTCACAATTTAGACATGAAGTTATCCTCAATATTGTATCATCGATATATGATGAACTCAAGCAATGCATGAAAGTATAGTCACTCACAAGAAATACTGATCTCCATACAAGGTGCCAGGTGAATTGTAAGTACAAGAGGTTCGTAAAGAAAAATAAGGAGAAAAACCTAGTTGGACTTTGACTAACATTTTATAATAATATATCTGGTCATTGTTGCTCAAAGTTAGTTAAAGTGAACGGTGGTTGGTGAAAAATTCAAATTGATACAACTGAAAATATAAGAAAGTAAAAGCCAAAAGTACATTCAATGTAAATCAATATGTCATGTCTCAACACATTTACTGCTTTAAAATAATAAAAAAATGTTCCCAATTTAGTTTGATTTTTACTTGAAACTTTTCACGATGCCCTGGTGATCCTTTTTAACCAATTGGGGTCTAAATGTTGTATTTATGTTATTTTTTATTTTTTAAGAAATGGAAACATCACAAGATCTCATACAAATATAGCCTTGAACTTTCTTTATGTATAAAAACCGTTACTTTTATACCAATGTGATGTTTTTACTTAGGTATTCAACCTGATCCTTAATCTATGACAGTAGATGCATCACACTGACTTAAAAATACCTTTTGATGAACAAATGACACGCAAGTGGAAAACAGTTTTCAGATCAAATTAAGAAGTGAATTTCCTCATATATCTATTCTATTCTACTAATACTCTTAGTACCTGGTATACAAAAAGCTATTGAAAATGGATCTTTCACACATCCCGTCATCAATAACAGATGATACAAAAAAAATCTATTTGTTTCAAGTTTTCATTCAAGAAATATTAATATGTACTCCGCGATTTAAAACAAACGTGACGAATGAAGACAGTGTACCGGACGTCAGAGAAACATTTTAGAAATCTAGTTTTAATTGCCAAGTGTCCAAATGTAAGAGATTTAGCCGTGATATATAATTTGTTCTAAATATGGTGAACTTTATATTGGCCAACCAATTAACTCCGAATACATATGACTATACATTGGCAGCAAACTAAAACAAACTCATTACGAAATCTACCAGTAAATAATCATGTTCATTATTGTGCCGGCGATCAATCTAACGTTTTGTATTCATTAGATACCATTTTGTTCAAACAGAAAGAAAATACGCATACTGACATTGAGATATGTTTTCGAAAGAAGCCATGAAACATTATGAGTACGTGGAGAGGTTATAAAGTATTGAAATGAAAACTTGCACACGTGTTTATATACAAGTTAATCAAACAGCAAAGTTTTATCTCGTATTGTTGTCCGTTTATTTTGTGACCGGATGTTTCCTTAGTGCACAAACATTTCTTATCGTTATTTGCGGCTTCGCGTGTACGATTACCCTTCTTCCTACAGTGTAGATTGTACATCATTGCTGATGATGATTATGATAAGGCAAATATTGCACACACAGAGCTGCCTCCTAAACTGTTATTTTTTCAAATTGTAACTTTAGCTTGAGCACGAATCAAGGCCCGAATTTCGAGTGTTTCCGGGTTTGTGATGTGCATTTTCTGTATTGATATCACCATGACTGTGAACAGATGTTGTGCAAATATGGTACAGCTTCACCTAATAACAACGTGAATTAGTCATTCAGTATACACAGCTGATGTACCGACATCATAAATCTATGACTGAATATTCAAGTAGAGTCGTATTCATCGTTTAGCTATATCTACCTTCCAATAAGCATGCTAAGATATCACTGTTAATTACCTCCATCGGGCCAGAACGTAATGAAGACAAAATGTAAATAATCGTAACAAAGATCAAGGGAATAGTGACGTAACGAGGAATAATTAGAATGCAATTACGACATTTTAACTAGTTTTCATATTATCACAACAAACTGTAGTGAACTTTTTAATATAAAAAAAATATCAAATGTTAGAAGCGAAATGAGCAAATATGGGTCCTCGTCAATAATCGATATTATCAGTTAGCAAACAATAAATTTGTAAATGAAATAAGTTAGACTACGTCGGATACGTTCAAAACATCACCTAAAAGAGATCGTCATACTAACCATTAAACTATTCAATGTACACGATTAGGATACAGAAAGTATAAAACTCCCTTTCCGTGTAAAACATGCGTAAGTGGACATTTTACGTCTGTAGAAGTCGTACAAAATTGAGAATCAACTCAGCATAAACTTTTTAAACAATAGTTGTGTAAAAAGAAACATATATAAGTAGATCATCCGAATACCTTTGAAATAAAATACATTGGAGGTAAGTATTGAGTAACCAACATCATACTGCTGTTACTAAGATACAAATTGTTGATACTTGACAGGGGCAAACTAAATGTCAGAAACCAGCTGAAAATCATATATTTTGAAAGTTTTAAACGGTATAGATATATGATAAACAACGTCTTTTTTTTCGAATGGATTTGAGACTGGTGTCTATCTGCTATGCATCTTAATGACTATGCAAAAACATTTCGATATAAATTGTAGAGACAGTAGAGACAAATAACGAACCAAACTGCATCATACAACTGTCTCGTCCTTCTAGGACTCGTCAGTAATGTTACATCATACAGCTGTCTCGTCCTTCTAGGACTCGTCAGTAATGTTACATCACACAGCTGTCTCGTCCTTCTAGGACTCGTCAGTAATGTTACATCACACAGCTGTCTCGTCCTTCTAGGACTCGTCAGTAATGTTACATCATACAGCTGTCTCGTCCTTCTAGGACTCGTCAGTGATGCCACATCATACAGCTGTCTCGTCCTTCTAGGACTCGTCAGTAATGTTACATCATACAGCTGTCTCGTCCTTCTAGGACTCGTCAGTAATGTTACATCACACAGCTGTTTCGTCCTTCTAGGACTCGTCAGTAATGTTACATCACACAGCTGTCTCGTCCTTCTAGGACTCGTCAGTAATGTTACATCATACAGCTGTCTCGTCCTTCTAGGACTCGTCAGTGATGCCACATCATGCAGATGTCTCGTCCTTCTAGGACTCGTCAGTAATGTTACATCACACAGCTGTCTCGTCCTTCTAGGACTCGTCAGTAATGTTACATCATACAGCTGTCTCGTCCTTCTAGGACTCGTCAGTGATGCCACATCATACAGATGTCTCGTCCTTCTAGGACTCGTCAGTAATGTTACATCACACAGCTGTTTCGTCCTTCTAGGACTCGTCAGTAATGTTACATCACACAGCTGTTTCGTCCTTCTATGACTCGTCAGTAATGTTACATCATACAGCTGTTTCGTCCTTCTAGGACTCGTCAGTAATGCCACGGACCGATACTTTTGGAATCCAGGAGGTGACCGATACTTTTTATGAACGTCTAGTTTGTTCCTCCTCATCTTCTTTCTTGTTTACTTATTGATCATGCTTTGTGAGAACCTTCGTGACTGTATTGTAAACATTTACTTTATTTTAGGCACAAGGGAATTTAGTTGATATTGAATTGCCTACTTTCAGTATATATTTAACGAGACCAAGGTGCGTCAGACACTGAATTGAGTAGATGGTATGGAATGCGGTAATACTTAGTTAACGTCATTCATTGGATTGGTTGGTTAGCTGATACATCCGTAGATGATACATATAGTAAGTATATATACAGACTACAATGAAAATGTTTGTAATCTCAAAGCAGAAGAATTCTCGAAGAAGGAACGCAAATGGTAAGTTTTGTTTCGCTTTATTTTCATTATGATGAGCAGTTCTCATGTACATCAGTATATGATATGATAGAGAACATCAAACAGTGTGAAAGATAACCAGTAAAACAGATGTGTGAAATGATACTGGCCGTTTATTACAGAAAAACGACATAAAATAAAAACATGTATACAAGACCATGTTACATCACACTGGAACTGAGTTACATGTATGCCTAAATAATTACACAAACTAACTCATTATGTGAAGGAGGGGGGCAAAAGCGCCCCTACACAACGTGATACATAACAGCCTGCAAAACCACGCAAGTGGTATACATGCAGTACAAATCAATGTAACAAAGGCTCAAAATGTTATCACTTAAATACCTGTAGTTCAATAATAAACACACATACGTAATACATACGTAGTATAAAAAGAAAAAAAAATGAAAACAAGCAGGAGATAGGGGTTGGAGGCGGGTATTTTAAAAATAGCACGGTGCTTCTTACCTTTAGCCTTAAGTCGATTTTCTTAAGTAACGATTCCGAAACGAAGTAATATCTTATTTAATTGTTAAGTATTAAAAAGGAAGAGAATGTTTTGATAAAGCATCCAAGTATCTTTAATTCTAGGAACACTTATTGTCATGATACATAATACAGTCAAAAAGCTGAAGTATTGATTACAATGTGTCATTACGATAACTAATCACTAACTATCGTCACATCAAATCGCTGTTAACACATTTCAGTAACAAAATACTGAAATCTAACCTATTTCGAACATATTATTATATTCTTTGTCAATTTTCATTTTTATACACGTTTATCTATTTATTTACATTGGTTGCAATCAGAACCATATGGATTTA